GTGGTCATGCACGATCAACGCTTTAGCCATTGCTTACCTCCGTAACATAATGCTGCAATAGAATAGAGTTCATAAGCTACATTTCAAGCGACTGCTCTGGAACACCAATCGATCATGCTCGACCGATATAGGCAAACAGCACCCCTGAAGGTGTAGTTGTGGTTCCTATAGCTAAATCACGTGATGGGCTCAAGCTGTCTGGTTGACCTCGTCGGTGCTCAAGCCTCCTAGCGATGTCCGGACGGCCACCGTGCGGTACAGATTTCTCAACCTCATTGATGCGCGGGATATACGGTTGTGAGACGTACCTTGATCACTCCCCAATACCCATGGGATTTCTTTTTTTGTCTTTTTCTTGTAATTCTAGGCGTTTGCAATGTGTCCTATGCATTAACTCCGCCAATCCATCAACCATTCGCTTCTTGCCACGATCCTCTGGCACCAGTGAATAATTTACAAACACAATGCAGGCGAACATATATTTTCAGTGAATTCTTTTTCACACCTTTACATTCACACGTATGTGAAACAATGTCAATACGGTCAAACAGAAAAGCGGATGAGTCATGTGTTGGGCAATGAGCCCAAGATAACTCCATATGTGTGCACTGTTTGGATCACAACCGCGGTCGTTACGTCATGATCGATTTTCTCTTCCCCTGGCCAGGTGAGTTCGAGAGCGTGAATCAATTTGCGTTATGCGCACAACTCAGGCTTCATGGGTCAGATGCTAATCGCCTTTGCGGGTGCTAGCAACCGAAACCATATTGCTCTCTAGGGGTGTGGTGAGACTCGATAAACGATTGTAAATGCCTTGCGCATGTCAACCAAGTGTCCCGTCTCTACCATATGAGCAACGATCGAGCTTGACACAGCTCCACTCCCACTCTGGATGAGCCAGCGTGGATTGTGTACTTTGATCCGTTGAGATAACTGCCTTGTCGTTCGACTTACATAAGTCGCACCAGAGGTGCACTTGAATTGGTAGGCAATCATGAATGAGGCCAACATAGACAGTTTATCTTTGTTGTAGAATAGGATGTTTGGTAACGTGAAGAACACATCTTAGCTGAGCGGCATAAAATGTAAATTTTACTGCTGAGGATAAAACTATACTGACCCTCTCAGTGGCGACATCGCCTTTGAATGGAAGTTTTATAAAAAGCATTTTCTTCTCCGCTTTTGGCATTTTTGTTTGCTTATTCTGCTGAGTCCAATTACGGTCGATAAACTTCTCAGGATAGTAGCGTCGAATTCAGTGCTTATCCACCGCCTATGCCTGCCCGAAGATCACACGGCCCATCCGGCACATTTGTCGATCGATCGGACAGTTCAGCCACAACAAGGGACCTTTTCTTGCCCAGCTAACCCGAGCGACAGCAGGCGTGCCTTCACCACACGGATGGACTAAACATGACAACAAGAGCATCACAAAATGTACAAGACAATGTAAAGCGACGGAGCGATAGTACTGTGCACATAGCAACTTGACATCTTGAATTGATACTCGGACATCTTAAATTCGTATTGTGACACCTTAAATTGATATTCTGGCATCTCGAATTTATGCTGTGACATCTTAAATTGAAAAAGGTATAGAACCGGATGTCTTGATAATCGATCAACTCGAATCGCAAAAATTATGCTGAAACTATGAGTTTACGCTTCACTTAGCTACTGCGCCTATAGGTTTTTGGTTCAAAGTGCCTTCTGGTCTTGTGTGAAGTTATTTTGACATCACCATTTGTGAAGGGCTATTGGGTCTTTGGTCACCAACTTTATTATTTTGTGTTTTATTGACTGTTCTTGAAAACCAGATGCCCGAAGGAATTTCGATATTTCCCGTTTGTTTTGACTTCAATAGACTTATGCAATTATTGATCAATTCTTGTTAGGTATTTTGGGCAGACTTGCTTTAATTAATTATGGAAATATAGTTGGACGTGTACTTGAGATCAACTATCACCTGATCTACCAATCACCTGCAATAAAATACACATGGACCTCTGTATCGCCGAAATCGGTCGCAGCTCCGTTATCAATAAAAGTGGCATATTTGATGCCCAATTTTAGCTACAGTTACTAACGGGCCTTTTCACCATGTTGAACAATGCCTATGCCCGTTGAAGTTTCCTGCGCAGATCGTTAGGCGATGGTATTATGACTTCATATCGCTCTCTACAACACCGTTTTCTCATATTTTATGGTTCGATCATAGTAATACGGCAAAATGTACCTCGTAATCACGAAGCCTTACTTTGTTCATGTTTTGAACGATATACCGAAAGGAAAACGATTTCGCGGAAAGATTTCTCCGGGCGAGATTATACACGTTTGGCTTATTACTAGATATTGATTTCTTACACTCTTCCGTCAAACTACCTCACTTGGTTGCCGCGGAAGACAAGATTTACTAAAGAAAGCGGACTCTAAATTACGTATCCAATTGAAAAATAGGTAGAAATATGCAGACGCCTTCCAAAACGGCCGATACGGTCCGGTGTTTGCTGCGTTTATTCATGTGGGGCTCAGACTTTCGCGTTTGCTAGCTCACACCCCACTACTGACTACCGTTATTTATCGTCCCCGACAATAAAAACAAAGCTGTCTGCTCTGTAAAGGTATTTATCCTTCGGTGTGGGTGCCACTCTTTAGGAAACCCCAATCGGTCTGGCAAGTCACATAATTGAGCGGACTGTTCCAATGATGTGAATCAATAGTGACTCGAATAAATAATATCCTCTTCTGTTTTGTCACAAATTATGGATCCCATTGTTGCAGTCTTTGTGTAGGACCTGTTGTAGAAGTACAAGTTGTTCTCTCTAACATGCGCTTAGTGATCTGGACCGATACATAAAGCAGTTTACCAAGGAGAAGCAATGCGCCTACTGTATTGGGACTTTTTTTACCAACATTCAATCGTGTCATCATCATCATCGTACAGTGAAGCGAACTTCACTGATCGCTGCCAAACCAAATGCATACAAGGAATGTGAGAATGTGTAAGGAGGACAGGGATTGAGCCTATTTGAGGGGACGTGGATAAAAGCGAACCTCAGTGGCCAACGCACAGGGTACACAGTCCAACTGGGCATTCAAGTATTCTGATTTGATAAGAAGTGACGGCAAGATCACCACTAGTTTCAGTATGCTGCCATGACATTCAGTGTCCCCAAACATCCAGGTACGGAGTCTTGTGGACCCCAACGAGGAAAAGAGCAGACACCTACTCTGCCTAATCACTCTGTGCGTTTCTTCGTGCATCGTCTCCACTTCATGTGCCGACCTCTACATGGCTTTCTCCAGTCTAGAGCGGCCTCTGCAAATGAAGCTCGCTAAGGTGGGCGACCGTGAGATATGCGCCAAACGTGTCCTAACTAACAGAGCCTATTGCGCGGAATTACATGCGCTACCGAGTTCGTGTTCGATGCATTCCCGAACACCCGATGACTTGAATCTAAGTTACTAACCCGTGCACTCCACCCCACCTCAGTTGGTGAAAACCACTAGGTGACGGATCTTCTGCCCGCAAATTCAAAGTCTCAACCGTAAAGAAGAACTGTTCGTACAGTGCCACAGTATAGGCGGCTTTTCAAATTCATTGGAACGTCACGCCTTCGCCACAGGTGTTTTGATCTTGCGTA